GTTATATCATTTGAGTGGTCAACTTGATGCAAGCCAACACTCTTCCTACCTTGAGAATTTCTACCATTCCTAGATGACAATGTTCTATACAAAGAGTTTTCACTCATGCTCTCATAAAGACGCCACACGTCTTCCTCTTGCCGGTCTATATAAGAACCTCCCATTGAAGCATCAACCATGCCTTTATAATTGTCCGATAAGCTTTCAAAGAAGAATTGGACCAATTGCCATTTAGGCATGTCATGGTGAGGACACTTCCTAAGCAATTCATTGAAGCGTTCCCATGCCTCGTGGAAAGTTTCTCCCTCCCCATGTGTGAATTCTCTAATGGCGGTTCTCATAGCATTGGTCTTATAAACCGAATAGTACTTCTTCAAAAATTCTTGTTGCATTTCTGCCCAAGAAGTTATAGAAAAAGGCCTAAGGTTGTTAAACCAATACTTCGCCTTATCTTTAAGGGTGAATGGAAAAAGTTTCAGCCTTAAAACTTCTTCCGGCATGTCCGTGTATTGAACGGTAGAACAAACTTCAAGAAACTCATCCAAATGCTTGTAAGGTTCTTCACTAGGAAGTCCATGAAAGTTAGGTAGCATTTGGATAGTTTGTGCTTTAATCTAATAATGGTGTGCTCTAAATGGTGGCAATTGAATGCATGTGGGTGCATTATACTCATTAGGCATATAGTGATCTCTCAATGCGAGTGGTGGATTAGCAACTTGAGGTGCAACATGGACACCTTGGTTATATTGAGCTTGATTAATGATGGGGGGTTGTGGTACATACATTGGCCTTGGAATTCCCATTGGAATTTAGCCTTGTTGTTGAGGAGGTTGATGAATGTATGGCCTAGGCATGCCTAATGGAACTTGCATATTATCATTTTGCACATTAGGATAAAGGATGCCTTGTTGGTCTATGTGACCAAAGTCTTCAACATGATCATCATTGAGAGCGTCCATTGGTAGATTGGTTCTATATGAACTTCCTCTTCCCCTTGGATTCCTAATAGTGGATTCTAAATGCAAATCAAGAGGGACAAGAGTAGGTCTCAATGAACGACGACCAGCATGCACAATGCAACACGAATAAGCAACTTTCTCAACAATGCAATTAAACTTCACAACCACAATTTTCAAATGCAATGTATGTCAAATAAATGCCTCCACGTGGGCCCCTGATTTATCCAATGATGCTATGCAATGCCTCCACGTGGGCCCCCGATTTAACTAAAGAGATTGAGTAAGAAGGTCTCACAATAGTCCTTTAGCACTTCAACTCCAAAATTAAAAGCTTAGCTTAGCAATTTTACTTAACAATTTTTCATTTTAAGCATTTTTCCTTTGCTTTGCTTTGCTCCTTAGCTTGGAATTACTTTGCTAGCTCCTTGCTCAATGCACCTAGTCAATGGAGAACAAATTCAATAAGTAATCAAAAACAGAAAATAAAAAGAAAGTAAAGACACGATCAAAAGAGTACTAATCCTAATTGAATTTCACAATTCGACGTTGCCAATTTAAAATCCCCGGCAACGGCGCCAAAAACTGACCGGTCCTTTACAAGGGTCGCGATACCAAGTCAAGCTTGAAGAGTTGTGAATTTAGGAGGTGGCCAAGTTTTACATTTATAGAAAGCCACTACTACCTTTCTCTATATAAAATATAGATAGGGCGAGTAGGGATCGTCCCAAGGGATTTGATGGTGTATCGAATTGTGAAACTATGGTAATTAGGGTTAGTAGGTCGAGTGATCACACAATTGATTGGTTGGTTGATTAAGCTAAATTGAATTCAACTAAATAAAATAATATGAAGTAAACAAGAGAGAGAGAGGTCTTGGGGTGTAGAGATCACCACCAAGTAATACTTTTCTATACTACTAACAAGTAATCAATTGAGGGTAATAGATGTGTTGCAATATGATAAGGGTGTGTGTGCATTAGGTTGATTCAATTGGCAAGGATGACAAATCAAGCAAGTATTGTCTAAACATCATGTGAAGAGCACAATATATCTAAACAATAGAGCATATATTGTCTAGACAACATGGGGATAGCACAATAGATCAAAACAAGTCATTAATCCTTCATTAAGCTCACAATCCACATACAACACAATATTAGAGGAATATGCCATTTGGACTCACAAGCATGGAACATCAAACATCAAGAGTAGATTGTCCTCCCATCTAACATTACACTACCACTACACTAAATCTACACTACTAGCATGAAAATAAAGCTATCTAGACTAGGGGAGAGGCACAAACCATCAAGAATAGGCATAAACCATCAAATGAACCGAAATAACATTCATTAAGCATATCATCTTGATAATCTCTAGATCTATAGCATCAATACACATAGACATGTATCAAAAACACTAAATCTAGGGATAAGCACATGAATATCCTACTCTAGCATACATAGACATATGGATAGAATAGAATAGTCAATTGGAAGCATTAAACCATACAAACCATGAAATAATCAAGATTTATATATACATGAATATCAAGATATATCATACAACACTAATCCCTCAATAAAACACAAGATTAGAGTATAGAAAGCATGTTTGGGGCTAACTCTAGCCCCAAGAGGATGTCTAGCCACTCATGGTAGTGATGATCCAACCCTCAAGGGCTAACTCCATGGCTGCTCCTTGTTGGTGAAGATCTCCTCCAATGGTGCTCTAGTTTCCCTCCTTCCTCCTCTCCAAGAAGAGCCTCTAAGATCAATTTTCAATGTGTGACAAGAGACTTCCTCAAAAAGTGTATCATATTCTTTATATAGGTAGGTCAAATACACCTCATGATGAGCTGTGGTCGTGCAAGGCATATTCTCCAATCATTGGATGAAGGACGGAATAAATGAGCTGGACTTTAACTTTTTCTCGCTGGAGGAAGTTCGATCGATCGAACCTTAACTTGGATCGATCGAAAATGGGTTCGATCGATCGAACTGCATCTTGGATCGATCGAAGTGGTCTGACTCCTCCGGATAATGACAAGGCTAAGATATTTTTAAGATATTTATGGGGAAAAAGACAAAAGTGGTTGGTAGGCGTACAACTGTGGATAAGATCAATCATTTGAATAGGACAAAATAGGGTTCGATCGATCGAAGGTGATGTTCGATCGATCGAACTTGGAATTTCAACAAAGGCCAAGGTTGGATCTATCGAGAAGTACTGTGATCGATCATAGATGTTCGATCGATCGAATTCTAAGTTGGATCGATCAAACTTTTCAGCTACACAACTTGATTCCTTTTTGCTCCTTTCTTTCTCCACTTTGCTCCCTCCTTTGGTTTATCTCAGGATTGCTTCAATTAAGCTCTTATTTGGCTGAGTTAGCTAAATTTTGGGATTAATGCCTGAAAATATAAATAACACGTAATAAGTCTAAAACGGCAAAGTAAGATAGATAAAGGTACTAGAATGCTTAAGCTTAACGGGTTTAAATACGCACTTTTCAGTGCTCATCAAAAACCTTCAACTCCTAAACAAGTTAAACACCAAAAAAAAACTAACTTACACCTACTTCGATTCCCTCCCAAAGTTGACAAAACCACAAAACCACAAGTAGCCACCAACAAGCAATTTACTTCCCTCCCACAGTTCTCACAAAAACAGCAATAAAAATGATGATACATGCTACAACAAGTTTCTTCATCAACTGAAGCCTTCCTTCGATGGCATACAACTTAGTTTTCAAATCTGCAATATCTTTTCTATCAACACGTTGACCAACCTCAATCTTCTTCCCATTTTCATTTGAAATTCTTACTGAAATTGGTTCACACCATTCCCAAAATCCACATCTTCGTTTTGGACATCTATAGTATAGCATTCCCAAATTGTCATACTGATCGAACCCTGTTACCAGAATTAAAGCTATTTTGCCATAATCATATTGAACATTAGTATACCTCAAATTAAGACTCCCATACTGTATGCTTGAAGAAGACATTCTGGGATTCGAATCTACAAATCAAAACAACATTTAATTTTCATAAAAATACTAAAAATCAACTCAAATCAACATCTAATTTTAATAAAAACATTAAAAATCAACTCAAAACAACATCCAATTTCGATGGTGGTTATACTTGGACACTAAGGTAGGGATTGTATTGTATGTATGATTTTGAAAACAAAATTAACAAAATGGGTTTAAACCTCAAAGCAATTACATTTTCAAAAATCCTCAAATAAATTAATATCAATTAGGGCTTAGGTAGGGTTACTGATTAGATTAAATTAGGGTAGCAAATTACCTTAAATTAGAGTAACAATTAACCTTCAAGCTTTAAAATCACTTCCACTGCTTCCTATAATGGAGGAAAGACGGTGGCTCGGGTGGCTTCTAGGGCTTCTTGAAACGCGCATGGAGGAGGGAGAGAAGATGAGTAAAATGTAAAGTGGTTGTGCTGTGGGTTTTTACTGTTACAAGTTTTGGGGTATTTTTGGTATAACACATTTAAATACATACCACTTGTTTGGCCCATGTGACACCAGGGATATTTTCGTCACAAAAGTCACTTTAGCAAAGCAATTGTTAACCATGCACTGGGTTAACAGTCCCAATTGACAGAATTGGGGTAAAATGATAACGCTGTAATATTGTCGGGGGTTTTTAAAACTGGTGGGGGTTTAATGATCATTTTTTTAAAGTAGTGGGGGTTTTTATATTTTAACCCATATATATATATGGACAGAAAAAGATAAACAGGCGGGGATTTAACTCTGTGTGTGTATATATGGACAGAAGGGCATAAGAGGGGCAATTTAGTCATTTTATACTTAGAAGGGTAATATTGTCCATGTATTCCATATAGCATGTCACGTGACAAGCACGTGCTCTAAATATGGTCGGACGTTCGCCGGAAGGGATGAATTGCAACAAAAATGTACAATTTAGGTATTTTTGTAATTTTTGTAGTTTAGGGGTTTGTTACAAGTACTCCAATAGTTCAGGTATTTTTATGCATTTCCCTAGTTTTAATTCCTAAAAAGAGGGTCACTCAGGAGTAAAAGGCCTTCTGCCCTGTCATTAAAGCGTGATATTTATTTTCAGCTTGGGCTTGAACAAGAGAATCCCATTGATATATACACACACATTGTATATATAATCGGTGTGGTTCGGTACAGTAATGGAACAACAGAAGCGGAAGCGGACAGTGGAAGTTAACGGAAGTGATTGCCGCCGGTCAAATTCTCCAGCGAGGCCATCGTCAAAATTCTTCAAGATAATATTACCCTCCATTATTCGTGAGAAGAGACTGGTAATATGACACTGTCACTATCTCTCCCTCTTGATATATAGATATTCCTTTTTTTATGTTTTGTTCCGCTGAAAATCTCCGTTTGGTTCCTGAGAAAATAAATGAGAAGAAAATTAATTAAATATTATTTATTTATTTATATTTTTTTTGGGCATTTTATGTTTTATGCTTCTTTGGACCATTTTGTTAGCCGAGGAGGTGAAGCTGAACGAACCTAACGCTAATTGTGAACGAAGATTTTAGTCTTACAATTCTCTCAGGTCCAAATTAGTAGGAACATAAGGTTCAAAAATTCTGTCTTTATCCTTTCTTTACCCATGTTTTCTGAGAAACCAAACACAAAATGTTTCCTTTTTATCTGGCTTTTTTTTAAGCATATTTGCATATATATACTTTAAAACAGTTTTGGGTAGTTCATATATATATCTTGAATATCTCTCAGAATAATTGAATCTTTAATATTATGCTATGTACATAATATACAAGTATTGAACCATGAACTGTGAATAGAATTAGCCCAAAAAATAATATAGAAGTATTTTCAACTTTACTAAATTGTATTAAATTGTTGTGGGATGTTACTGCTTGTTTCTTATTTTTGTAACATGTTCTGTTCATTTTACTTTTACTCTCTCGTTGGATTATCTTCAAATTTTTTCTGATGTTTTCCGATTCTATTTCCAAATTGTCCCATGTGAAATATTCTGGAATGTGTGTTATAGTGTCTTGAGGCCAAAAAGACCACACATGATCATCTTTGATTAGGCAGAACTTCCAAATTCACTACTCGTGTAGTAAAGTTTTTAATCTTTTCTTCTTTTTATTTATTTATTCATTTATATATATGTTTAACAAAAATATAAGTTTATATCTGCTCTCAATTAAACTTGAAACCTGTATTTTATATATATATATATTTATATATGTTAAAAAAAATACAAGGTTACCATGGGTTGTGAGAGGTGAGTGTTCAAGAGTTCCCCTAGGGGAAAATGGGTATGAAAATTTCTTGCCCAGAAAAAATAAAATATAAAAAAATCTGCTCTCAATTAAACTTGAAACTTGTATTTTATATATATATATATATTTATATATGTTAAAAAAATACAAGGTTACCATGGGTTGTGAGAGGTGAGGGTTCAAGAGTTCCCCTAGGGGAAAATGGGTATGAAAATTTCTTGCCCAGAAAAGAAAAAAAAAAAAAAAAAAAAAAAAGGATAATTTAATATCTGCTTTCAATATAATGGGACTACTTTTATTGAAACCTCCCATCAACTGATGTGATAAGGGTAATTTTGTTGCTAAGTGGCCGTTTGTTGCAAACCAAAGTGAAGAACCAACGAAAAGCGAGTCATGTGAGCCAATTGCAGTATGTTGTAGTATGTTTGCTCTACATGGTGTTTCTCTTTGATGACCCGTAAAATCTTAAGCTGCTAGAGAGGGTATAACTTTAATATTTAGATTCTCACATGCCGATTACAGGATGTTGTAGTATGTTTGCTCTGTATGGCATTGCTCTTTGATGACCTGTAAAAGCTTAAGCTACGAGAGAAGGTATAACTTTAATAATTAGATTCTCTAACATGCCCCCTCTGAGAGCATCTCCAATGCAAAATGCTATATTTCCATGCCAAATCTATATTTTGAGAGGAGTTACAGTGTCAAAATGCTATATTTTTGCAATTATGCTCTAATGGTGCATTTCATTCAAAATACTATTTTTTGACACAACAACCATTCCATGTTTTGAAAGCCCATTGGAGTGCCTTATTTTCATTTTAGCAACTTTTAACAATCTCAAAATATAAGAGGTCTTTTGAGAGCTCATTGAAGTGCCTTATTTTCATCCACTTGCTATATTTTGAGTATGAGAGCCCTTTGGAGAGGCCATTGGAGATGCTCTCACGTATGGCCTTTTGTTGGTCCAATACCTGTTTCAATTTCAGCGGTGGGCTTTGAACTTAGGACATTACCTGCTCTGATACCATGTTAACCACCATCTACTTAAAAAACTTAAATTGTTAGTGGGTGTCACTTTAGTATTTAAATTTTCTAACAATTAACATTTCCGATTTTTGGAGCTACATTCATGTTAGGCAAGCACTTTAAAATTCACTTGAACAATTGAGCCCAATTTAATTTTTATATTGGCAGAGGATCCCCAAAAAGTTTGTCAGGAAGTATGTTGATGAACTCTCTACTGTTGCCATGCTCACTGTTCCCTCTGGCCGTGTTTCGCATGTGGGATTAGAGAAGGCTGACAAGATGCTTTGGTTTTGTGATGGTTGGCAACAATTTATGGAAAATCACTCAATCAGTTGCGGGTACTTTTTAGTCTTCACATATAAAGGGAATTCAAGCTTTGATGTTCTCATCTTTGATTTAACTGCCACTGAGATCCAGTATTCATGCAGTATTCACGGTAGGTCTAAAAAAAAAATTAATGGAAAGCAATGTCAATTATCCAATGAGAAAGAGATAGAAGATGATGACTCTGTTGAAATTTTGGGGTCCTCAGGTTTTGTTGGATCTTCATCTAAAATTAGTCCGGGACTCAACAAAAAGGGTAAAAGTGCAGCTTTGTTGGAGAGCTTGAAACCCACTCCTCAATGTCTAAAAAGAAGCAAAAGATCTAAAAAAGATAAGCAGCAAACATTTGAATTAGAGAATTTGCAGGAAGCATGTGGAAGAAAACGAAGCAGAAGCAAAACGTCAAACTGGCATGATTCTTTGTTGGATAAATCCAAGAGAATGAACCAGTTTGTGACTAAGAATGTACAGAATTTACAAGCATCGGCTCCACCAGTTCATGATAGGGGCTTAGATCAGTTGAATGAGAGTGAACTTAAGGATAAAACATATAGAATTGATGTAGAGGAGCAGCATCCAACCAAAATTGCAAATAGTTCACATGTGGCGACTCAAAGAAATAGAGATACAAGTCATCAGATTACAAATCAAAGAACTGTTTCTAGTAAGCTTTCAGACTACTTTTTTTTTTCTGCTCAAAGTGATGTAAGAGTTGATTTTCTTGTCACTAATTTGATAAATTGAGGATGGGCTGGAATTATTGGTAAAACAAGAATGGTCTGCAGAAACGCTTGGTAATAACACTTGTTCAATAACTTGTTCAACAGGGGGACCAATGATAAACCAAGCAAGAGAGAGGGCAATTAATGCAGCGAGAATGTTTAAGCCGGAAAATCCTTTCCATATGTTTATATTGCGCTCAGATAATGTAGACCACCATTTTACCCCCCTGGTGAGCCCTTGAATTTATGTTAGATGGTGTAAGATTATTGGTTGAGCTGTTTATGTTGCTTCATTGATCATGTCGGTAAAGATGTTCAACCGGCTACTTATAAGTGAAAGATAACTGAATATTTCTCCCAATAAATTAACCTTCTATCAAGTATTATTTTCAGTTTGATGTTGGAATGATACGTATCTTTTTTTCTTTCTTATGCAGTATATACCATCAGAATTTGCCATGAAGATCAAGTGTTTGCTTGGTGTTTCAGATATTGTTAAGCTTCAGGTTTCTGATGGAAGAGATTGGTGTGTTCGTTGCATTCATGACAGAGGACCTTGGGCAAAATTAAGTAAGGGCTGGGCTGCATTTGTAAGGGAGAATAATTTGGTGGAAGGAGATATATGTGTCTTTGAGCTGATCAAGGTTAAGGATATTGTGCTAAAGGTGTCCATATTTCGTACCGCAGAGTATTCAGGGCAACCGAACCAACCTCATCAGTTTGATGAAAGAAAATATTCAAAGGATACAAATCAAAGAACTGTTTCTAGTAAGCTTTCAGACTACTTTTTTCTGCCAAAAGTGATGTAAGTTTTGATTTTCTTGTCACTAATTTGATAAATTGCAGATGGGCATGAATCATTGGTAAAACAAGAATGTTGTGCAGAAATGCTTGGTTCAATAACTTGTTCGACAGGGGGACTAGTGATAAACCAAGCAAGTGAGAGTGCAATTAATGCTGCAAGTATGTTTAAGCCTGAAAATCCTTTCCATATGGTTATATTGCGTTCATACAATGTAAAACGTCAATTGGTCATGGTGAGCCCTTGAATTCTTGTTACATGGTGTAAGATTATTGCTTGAGCTGTTTATGTTGCTTGATTGGTAACGCCGGTAAAGATGTCCAACATCTGCTTATAAGTGGAAGCAGATTGAATATTTATCCCAATATATTAATCTTATATCATGTACAATTTTCAGTTTTATGTTGGAATGATAGACATATTTTTTCTTACATATGCAGAATATACCACGGGAATTTGCCATGAAGATGAAGTGTTTGCTTGATCTTTCTGATTTTGTTAAGCTTCAGCTTTCTGACGGAAGAGAATGGCGTGTTCGTTGCATTCCCCAAGATAAACGAGGAAGAGGAGCGGGGGCATTATTAAGCCAGGGCTGGGCTACATTTGTAAGGGAAAATAATTTGGTGGAAGGAGATGTTTGTGTCTTTGAGCTGATCAAGGTTAAGAATTTTGTGATTAAAGTTACCATATTTCACGCTGCTGCATCTGCAGGGCAAGCAAACCAACCTCTGGAGTGAAACCATATTTGTATTTTTGTGGTTATTAAGGTATTTCTATCTGGGCAGCTCTATATCACTACTAGTTTTGCTTAATTTTGTTCCATCCATCAAAAGTTGTCGCTCAATGATTTGTGGTTGCAGTATACTTCTGATGTATATATAACCCTTTTTATTTTTTCGTGTTTTATATCTAGTGGTATGGTTTATACTAATGATTACTGTAAGCTTATCCAACTTGCTAATGTTGAATTCAATCTGAGCAGTTACTTTTGTTGGATTTTTTGAATGCCTGTTTTATGCTTCCACTTGTGGAACTGTTTTTTCACTAGCACAAGGAAGAGGGTATATAACAAACCACTGCATAAGTTATTTTTATATGATATGACGGCTTTTTTATAAGATGAGATTTACACTCCCTGGTGGAGCAAGTGTCCAAACAGCCACTAAGCCTATGGGCTGGTCTGGGCCGGGCCTTGTTTATAGCCTTGGCTTGCCCCAATTATATCCATTAGGCCCGAGTAAATATATTAGTGAGTATATTATATGTGCAATCCAGGTCAGCATCTTACGTGGATTTTTTTCTCTCAAATTTTAAATTTTTTTTTTTTTTTTTAAACTTTTTCACCTCATGGTCACAATCTAAGTCACATAAAGTGGGAGCGAGAGCGAATTCGAGAGCGAGAACGTGAGAGCGACAGAATTAAATCATAAGTAGTGAGAATTTGAGCGAGAACGTGAAAGCAGCAGAATTAAATCATAAGTAGCGAGAGTACGCGCATAGCGTGAGAGTGAAAGCGCGCTCGGAGTATGAAAGCGATATTCGTTGGGAAGGATTGTGTGAGTTAGGTCACAATATGACCTTTGATTTGTATAACTTATTTTAGATGTGAGAATTCTTTGATGGCAAAGATTTGCCTTTGACTTTTAGAATTCTTAGTGATTTTTTTTCTTTTTATTATTATTTTTTTGTTTTTTAGTGTTCATTCAAAACTCCTGATTTCAATTTAAAAAAAAAAAAGGAACTTTGAGAATTCAACTTATTTTTTAAAATTGGCATGATCACTCAACCTTCAACGTTGAGCAATGAATAATGGAAGAGTTTTTTTATATATAAAGACAAAATAGGGTATCTGCATTACCAAGATCTCATCAAATTTTATTCTTTATGATCAAAATGTGAATGAGTGGAGTTTGTCCAACTACAAGAGTGGTTGATTTTAGAGAAAATATGCTAAGAAAGTTGTTAAAACCGACCTTAGGGTGCTGATTTTGAAGCAGCATTCTGAAATTCCTTCTAATATTTTTTTCTCTAAATATATCTTCTTATTTTCTTCAATATACTTCCACTTTATATATATATATACCAGGTTAGGATCTGACTTTTGAATTTGTTATCAAAATTGATAAACCAAGAATGAATAAATGATTCATTTTGGTGTAATAATATTGTTGACCAGGCTGCCATGTAGTCATAGTAACTAAAATGAATTTCATAATCAGGCAGGGGTTGGAGCAAAGAAGGGTGAACACGCCATTCTTCCATGGAAATGATCTTCTGGATGTATAAGGAGTGATAGATGACTTTGGTTGAATCATTGCGATCTGGGATTGACTTGATGGTTATAGATTCAGTATGATAGAGAATATCTCTGTAGAAGCCAAGTGTTTTCTGGGGACGACTTGGGCAAAAATGGAGGTTACCAGGAAAATAGGATCGTATTAAAGTGATGGGATCCTTTATGTGACTAAGGTGTGGCTCAATATAAAAAAGAGGGACATGGGGCTTTTCAAAATAATCATTGGATGTCCTTTTTGGAATTGGTTTTGTGTTTTGGGTAACTGGAGTTTTACCTTGGACCTGGAATGGGTCTGGAGAAGGATTGACTAGAGCTGATTTAAAAGTGGATGTTTGGGTAAGTGGTGGGAACCTATTAACTACTGCAAGGGCAGAGGATGACTGGGTTTGGATTATTGGAGGACCACGAGGGGCTCCTGGATAGATGTCAAATGGTTCAATTACTTGTTTCTCTTGGGGGGGCCGCCGGGGAGAAGGTTGCCTGTTTACCATTCTGCAGGAATTCTCGGGTAAGAAAATCTGGAATGGAATTGTTATTTCCTTTGATATATTCTATATCAAAATAAAAAATACTTAAAATAGCTTGCCAGCGGGCAAAAATCCGTTTAGAAGCAATATTTTCAACATCTTTTTCTAAAACATATTTTGCAATTTGACAATCAACTCTGACTAAACTTTTGATTTAAAATATCATCTTGAAATTTGCTAATAGATAAAACAATAGATAACATTTCTTTCTTACTTTGTGCTTTAGTCCAAACACCAGAATGGAAACGAACTAATTGTTCAGGAGCATCTGAACTGACTGTTTACTTGAGGATGCCACCATAGCCAATATCTGAGGTATCAGTTTCAATGATTTTGAAAGAATCAGAAGTTGGAAAGCCAAGACATGGCAAAGACTTAACATATTGTTTTATGAATTTGACTATATTAGTGTGAATTGTCTTGGATTTGTTTCTCAAAATTTTTAATTTTTTGTTGGAGAATTGGGTCTGTTAATTGAGAATCAATTCTTTTGTAATTGACTTCTTCTTTTAGAAATTGTAATTGTTGAGTTTTACTATGAAGTATATTGATGGATTTAGAAACAGAGGATTCAATAACTGATTTTAATTCTTTTCTAGAGGGGAGACTTAGAAATTTAAGCTGGACCTCTTGTCCAAAAGGTCTAGAAATAAGTCCCTCATTATCAGTGGTAAATGGATATAGGAGGTAAATAAATGGGACTCCTAAAACTAATTTGTCAGTCATGTTTTTAAGTAGGACAAACGATGTCTTAAAGCACACATTATTTTGACAAATATAAGCTTTGGACAGTTTGTATTTGATATCCAATTTACTTCCATTTGCAGAACTTAATTATTCAGTAGTTTTTTTATAGTACCTAGTTAGTATTAGTCCTTCATGAATGCAATTAAGATTAGCACCTGTATCAATCAAATCAATGACTTCAAGCCTGAAATCTTTGTTGATGATAAGGATAACTTTAGCATACCATTTTTTAAATGATATTTTATTTAGTGTTTGGAGATCGTGGGAAGGAATCGATCGGGCCGAGCGATCAGATCCTTCATCTTCAAACGAAGAACTTTTCTCTTTAAAGGAGAAGGCATGATTTGTATTTATTTCTTTCATGTCATTCTTTATTACTTGATTTTCTAACTTAAGATTTTTAATTTCAGTTTTTATTATATTAATCTCTGTTTGCAGGTCTTGGATTGTTACCTCTCTTGGTTGGTTATTAAATCTTTCAAGAGTTTTATATAGGCTAAAATTTGGTTTAGTAGCTTTGAGAGCTTCAACTTCTTTGTTTCCTTGCAATATCTTAAGTTTTTTAAGATAAGAGGATTTTAACTCAGGGTCTTCTACTTTACTTATTAGATCAATAAGAAGATGTTCTTGTTCTTCAGTTTTAGTGAGAACATTTACTGACTTAAGATTGCAACAACTATCCTTACAACCTATTGTAATGTCAGGTTAACCGGAAGAAGCATCAGAGGACTGGGAGGATGAACTAACATCTGAGTTACTGTTAATATCAGTATCTTTTAATTGTAGGATTTGGTAAAGGGACTCTTTACTTTCGTCAGAAATTTGTAACTGGTTTTTTTTTTTTTTAACATAACAATCTTTTGCAAAATGGCCGACTTTACCGCATTTAAAACACGTGACTTTACTTTTATCTTTTGGTTCCTTTTTGTTATATTCTTTTTATTGTATTTCTTCTTTGATTTTTGTTTGTCTTTGGAATAGTATTCTATTTTTGGGAATAATGATTTTCTCTTTTTGTAATGTCTACGATAACCTCTATGACCTTTGTATGACTTCCTATGGGTATTGGCTAGTTCTCGCGAGGGAGCTATGGGTGGAAGACCATATTATTCACAGAAAGTTCCCATTTCATATTTAGCTCTCTTTTTATCTTGTAACTAGTTACTAATTTTCATGTCAATACACATTCTTAATCCTTCCTTTTGGGTTAAGCTAATAATATTTCCATATGTAAGGTTATCATAATCTATGACACCTGTGGTTTTACTAAGGGTTTCTCTAATTTTATGGGCAAAAAGATTGGGTAGTCCATTGATGAATTTTTCTTTCCAAAATGGTTTGTTACTATCGTCATGGAGCATTACTCTTGACAGAAATACATCTTTGTACCATCTAAAATCACTCATGGTTGGACAAGTGAGATTAGTAAGTTGGTTGTGTATCCTGGCAGTAATGTTACTAGGGGTTCCTATAAAATGTTCAACTATGGTGTAGATTAATGTGTTAACTCCATCAGGAACATCGCATCCTATGGTTTCATCAAAAATAGGTATTCCGTTATTATCTTTTTGAATAGCATTTTTGATTCTGTCACGGGAGTCTTCAGTAAGATGTTTTTCCCATCGAGATTTTAACATACCCGTGAATCCTGAAGTAAGTAAATCAACTATATCAGGTTGACTAAGGTCATGAGTAGTGACATAATTGTTAGCCACCATAGATATGTGATTTAGCTTGTTAAGAATTTCCTGTTCGGATAAGCCGTCTATGTTCCACTCATAGAGTTTATCCGAAGAGACAGAAAATTGATTTTGACTATTTCTTTCTTCAAATTGGAGGTCAGGGGGAGTTAGCCTAGGGTACTAATTTTTGGTAAGGCTTGTAGGGTTAACTCTTTTATTGGAAATTCTGTTGAGTTTTAAATTGGAGAATGCATTGTCAATAGCTTGAATTTTAGAGGCGTAACTTGATTCTGAAGAGGATTGGTCAGAATTAATATTGGTATGAATTACAGTGAGTGATTTTTCGTCTTTGACTTTGGCTTTGCCTTTTTCAAGAGTTTTAAGTAGGGTTTCAATTTGGAGAACAGTAGAAGGGTTTGGAATGGCTGCTGGAAGGCCTTTCCATTGAGTAGGCATAGATATTAGGGGTTGTTCTATTATGGGAGGAGATTTTGTAAGAATTGTTGACTGGGTAAGTGTAATTTCAATTTTATCTAACTGTGTACCAATAATGTAAAGGTATTGGTTAGTGAAATTGTTTTGTTCAACTATTTTGCGAATGTCTAGGTCAGAGGTATTATTATCTTATTCTTCTTCTTTTTTATTATTTATTTA